CTGTTGGGATGGAATCAAGCGACTCATGGAAAGAATCCGAGACTCAATCTTCAAATGATTTTGCTTATGGACAACGTCAACCAATCTCGGATCCATATGGGTGGCATGTTAACAATTACATGCAAAATTATTTTGGGGATTTATCATTTGATGACTACTCTTCAAAATATACTTACTCTACACATAGAGATGATGAAGATAGTGAAAATTTTGAACCTCATAGGAACTCTATGTGGTACTAAGTCACTCATGTATCTTACCATGCAATGTATAAAGTGTAAAATATTGTAGTAATTTATTATATATAAATGATTATGGTGTGTTTAATCTTCTTTCATTAATTACTACATATTTTCTACACTTACGGTGTTTGCCAGCTCGCTATATAATCAACTTAAATCAGTTAAATCCATCATGCAATGCATTTCCTTCCAATTTTTTGTGATAAACTAATAGATAATTGACTAAATAAACATCCTGCAAAGTTTCAATAAAAATTTCCAAGTTTTTCTTACAATTTCCGTGGTTTTTATTCAATTTTTTCCGATACCGATAATATCCCGATATTTCCTGCGATATTTCCGTATTTTTTGACTTCCTATATTTCCGATACCTCCGATATTTAAGACCTTGGTCTAAAGTATTCTCAGCTTTTTCTAAAAAGTAATCAATATGCTGTCTCAATATGGTGAAAATCAATATCAATAAACTTCTCTCTCTCAAAAGTAATCAAACTCATCACCAATCTCACAGTCACAATCACACCATATGCTGTCTCATTCAGCCCTTCTCTCTGAATGAAGACCTAAAAATAGATAGTTTGGATTGTTGAAAAAAAATTTGTAGGGTACCCTAAATGGCGGCTCTCAAATAAAATTATGAGGGATCCCTCAATAGAAGGGGACTGATATATACATTATATATATACACACACACACACACACACAAAGAGAAATTCTCCTATTCGGACGTTCAGATGTTATTACCTTGCAAACGCCATGTATTTTCTACTACCCCTTCCTATCTTCCTATTTACAATTTAGTATCCGCACGGTAATAACGTACGGACATCCGGATGACAAAATAACTATATATATATAGATATATTGGTCAGTCTATTTGAATATATAATTTAATGGTTAATGTACTTACTTTACACAATGCAGAAGATAATGAGTACGCAGAGGGGGTTGATCCATCACTTGAGTACGCAGAGGGACTCCTGCCACATTGCTGGTTTTCAACAATGAGAAAGGATTTTCTACTAAAAACATAGAATGCTTTT